TAAGCGGGTTTACCCCAGTCTCCCCTACAAAAAAAATACTGGATTTTGCATGCTTTTTGTAATTTTTTAATTTCTCGAAAACTAATTAACTTTTATTAGCGCTCTTGGTCTTGTTTTAATCTCTATTTAATGTAGAATCTAAATTATTAACTGGTATTGTGAAATAAATTTTTCCAAAAAAATTTGAAACCGTAAAAGTAGGATTACAAAAATTCAAAAAGTTATCATGAATATTAAAGTGTCAAAAAGGAAAATGTAAAATATGTTCATTTAATAGATATACTAAAATTCAAAAAAGCTTTTGATTAGTTAATTTGATACCGGTCACGGTGTAGATGACACGGTCAAAGGGTGCGAAACGAGGAAAATCTGATTCGACTTGGGTAGAAAGAAAATAGTTACGTAAAAAAGGTAGTGACCGGGTAACAACGCAGAAGAGGGACTCCTCTGTATATTACCGGCGATGGGGCACGTCTCGAGGGCCGGTCATACGTTGTTGCGTAAGCGCAGAAGAGGGACTCTTCCGTAATTTACGCGCAACGCAGAGACTTCTCGAGCGAATTTCGCCCTTAGCGACTGCGCGGTCTAATAGTTTGTTTTTTTATTTAGGGCTAAAAATAAAAAAAATAAAATGCGCTCAGAAGAGAGGCTCTTCTGTACCGTAACGAACGACGAAACGAGGTTGGATAGGTGGTCTCCCGTAGTACGGAATCACTGAAGAGGGACTCTTCCGTTAATTCGGCGGACCGCAGGGAGACGACTCGCTCTGGAGTGCACACGCAGGGGCGACTATTTTCGGAAGAGTGGCTCTTCCGTATAGCGCGTCTTTACGGGTACGTACCGTACGAGTATCACTTCGTCGTCAAACCTTGCAGAAGAAGGACTCTTCTGTACAGTTGGACGACAAGGCGAGACACCTATCAGCGTCTTCTCGGATTACGATTTTCGGAAGAGGGACTCTTCCGTGTCGGTAATACCGGAGAAGGGTAAAGCAGTACTTACTGTGAACACAGTAAGACCCAAAAACGTCGAGTGAGGTGAGGAACACTTCAGGCTCGGCAAAAATGATAAAAAGACTCTGGTGAATTGAGTTGCAAAGAACTTTATTCGTTAGAGGAGAGGATCAACATCGAGTGCAAGTGAGTGATCGACTGACTGGGTGGTCTCGCAACCCCGCCTTAAGTAGGGGTGATGAGGCATGTCGTTTGCGAGAGAACCCAATCTTACATTACATTACTAAAGATAACGCTCGTAGCGTCAAAAGTTGACACTAATCCTTCCAGACTACGTTCAACATAGCTCTTTCTCTCTCACTCGTACACACAATTTGCATACCGAACGAAAGAGTTAATGTTAACATATAATTTTATATGGGTATATATATACGTCTATAAACATATACTCATATGATACCAACGTATATGTACATACGTTCGGTATCGATCCGCGATCTTAAAATTATATAATACTCATTTATTTAAACAATTTTCTTAAATTCTAAGCGCTAGAAGTATTAGGAAAACAGAACCAGCACGGAGGTATTCGAGAGTAGAGAGAGTGAAAGGAACGGAAGGAAATGGAGAGAGTGGAGGGTGAAAGAAAATGGGCCGGACGTCCGCCGGCGAAAAGACGAATGAGCGAGGGAAATGGGCCTGTGCGCGTCAGACGGACGTATTGGTAAGACGGAGAGAGAAGAGTAAGAGAGAAAGTGGGAGCGTGGATGAAAGAAAATGGGCTGTGCGCTGGGCATGGAAAAGTGAAAGGAAAATGGAGAAAATGTAGTGCTCGCTGATTCTGGATTCTACTTATAATAATAAAAATTTTAATCAACATAAGTTTCTTGTATTAAGAATTATATATAACTTTATTAATTATAGTTTACTATATATTAATATATAGAGATATATATTAATTTATAGTATGCAATTAATATAGTTATGGTTATAATTATCAATAAAGTGAATGATTTTCCTTACTCGAGAAAGAATGGGATGGAAATTGACACCTTAAATGATTATTTAATTTGAAATTTAATTAAACAACCGTTTACAAATTGTTAAATTTAAAAAAAAAATTGTTGAAAAAGTGTCAATCTGTTTTTCAAAATTTTTTTATCCGACTTTCACAGATTCAAATTTTTTTGGAAAAATTTATATCACAATACCATTAATTAATTTAGATTTTACATTGAATAGAGATTGAAACAAGACCAAGAACGCTAAAAAAAGTTAATTAGTTTTCGAGAAATTAAAAATTACGAAAAGCATGCAAAATCCAGTATTTTTTTTGTATCTGACAGAATAGTCAACGAAAATTCTTCGATTAGGTGTCAGTCTTTTCATAATTTCATTAGCTTTCAGGAAAAAAATACGAAAAATTTTTGTCATTCTTATTTTCTACGTTTTAAGCATTTTCCCACTCATGATAAAGGGGCGTCCTGATACTCACGGAGGGTAGTGTATTTATACTTTAAATTCTAGTTTTGTCAAAAACGGCTAAGGTTCCTTGTACTGTGGAATATCACATATTTTAATATTTATAAAATATTTTAACCAAACCAGAATGTTTATATAATTTTTTTTCTATTTATTATGTATAACTAAATTATTTACTTTGAAAAATTCGGAATATTCTCCTTGGCGCTTAGAGCTATGAGAAAACCAGTTGTATGTTTCAGTAAGAATGAAGTCGAGGTGATTCGGGACAGTTTTATAGGCATATTTTGCGCTATTGTCAAGACTGTGACAAAGGCATTTAATTAACTGCAAATTAGTCACACTTTCTTTTAAATGAGCATAAAAAGTACTGCACATATTCTGTGCACCATCGGTTCCAAGTGAATGCAACTGTGATACAGGTAGTCCAATTGATTTAAGATAATTTTTTAGAGCATTAGCTAGACTTTTTCCAGTACAACTGATGACTTTAATAATTGACAGAAAATCGGTTACCATCTTTTTTGTGATCCACTAAAATTCTGGACACATAAACCCATAAACTTAGTTACCGACACATCTGTCGATTCATCGACATTAAGGGCATACGGACTATTTCCAATATCCGTAAGCAGTTCTTGAAGTTGTACTGGCGCAATGACATTTAATATTATCATTGAACATTTGGTTCTATGTAGCCTAATATTAAAAGATTTTTCCTTGTCCACATGCTTTGCACGTTTAGAATGTGCAATTAGATCACTATGGTGTGCTCTAATGTGGCTACTGCACAGTTTGCAGTAGGCTTCCGGCTTCCCATTAGAGACATCACCTTCAGATGATGGAGCCAGCCAACCTAAAATTTACAATTAAATATTAGTTACATAAAAATACTAACTTAAATTAATTACTTCCAAATTTTATGAAAAAGAATTCATGGATAAGAACATATTAAAAACATATTAAAAATTAGTAGAAATTACTACCGAAGTATGGCGCTAATATATTTTTCTTACTGAAATTGATGACTGTAATAAAATACAAACTTTTTTGTTATTTTAAATAAAAGTAAAATTACAGCGCTGTAAAGCAAAAAAACGCGGTCATTGAGTAATATATAGCCCAAATCGCTGTTTGTAGCGATAACAAGGTTTAGCCCGCAAAAACAGTGCAAAAGAAAGCCCAAATCGCGGTTTATAGCCCAATCTGGCAAGCCTGCTGACAGAAGTCGAAAGTGTCACGCCATGATTTGTCACCAATAGGCAACTACTTACCACCATCATCTCGATTCGAGCATGTCCATCTGGATATCGTGATCATGCCATCGTCTGAGGAATAACGTTACTGCCTCATTATGGTTGACCGATTCACAATGTGGCCTGAAGCAGTGCCGATGGAAAATAAGGAAGCTGGAACCATTGCTCGAGCATTTTACAACACCAGGATTGCTCGATTTGGAACCCCGCTGAGGATCACAACCGACTAAAGTCGTCAGTTTGAGTCGTACTTATTTAAACAACTTAATCGTTTATTAGGTACAACTCATCTTCGCACAACAGCATATTATCCATCTGTTAATGGAATGCGAATGGTAAAACGGCTCCACCAACAGCTGAAAGCAGCAAACATGTGCCATCAAATTAACCGATGGACGGAAGTGTTACCAACTGTGCTGCTTGGGATTCGAGCTGCGTAGAAGGAAGCAAATTCGACAACTCTTCCGTTCCAGCTGATTTTGTTGCGGGTCTTTGACAACAACTACGGAACGTCAAGCCACATTTTTATCATTTTTTATATTTGCCGTCTATGTATTTCATTAATTATATAAACTTGTTATTTGTAAATGTTTGATTACAGTGAGTTCTCGCGAGTCATTTAATTCTCGAAAATTTTAAAGATCATAAAACTCACGAGTCGATCAACGCATAAGCCATGCCTCCTTGGCGATTTCAGGGATGTGTGAAGCATATTATTACCCCAAAAGACATAATATTTAATGGCTTTGGTCCGTTTAAATTACACAGTACTGAGCACTGGCGCGCGCATACTAGAAATTAAACGACTCCTGAATCGGACACTGATCAGCTCTTGAACGACTCGCGAGTTTGAACGACTCGTGAGTTGAATGACTCACTGTAATTTGTAACAATTTTTTTTAATTTATCGAGTGAGATTCTATCAATAGTTAAGTAAGTATCATTGTCAGAATGTGACGTTTCAGCTTTTTTAATATAGTTAGATATGTTCATCCAACAGCAGTATTACGTAAATAACGTAAAAGAGAATAACGTCAAGGTATAGAAACTTACTACGATACTATTTTAACTATGAAACAAGTGAAACAAACTGCAAGAGTCAGGCTAAAAAGTTTTGACACGTGAAGCTATTCACTCACTCAATACTTATATGTAATACGAAACCATTACAGAGAAAACGAAAATCTGTATTCCTGTTTTTTCTAAATCTATACTGGAAATTAAAAAAATTATTCAGCCGTAACTCTTAGAAATAAACGCGCTTCTGTATAATATGTTAATATCTTCTAATATGTTTTATTTATTTTAGGTTGATTTCGGTTTTAGTAAAAAAGTTGGACCAGGTAAAACTTGGACTTTTGCTGGAACACCGGAATATGTAGCGCCAGAAATTATTTTAAACAAAGGACATGACAGGTTTGTTATTTATTTAGAAATAAATGTTTTATGCTATACACACTAAAAAAATTAAAAGCACACTGCAGTACACTCCACAGTGGGCCAGGATCGTTGAATTTTGGCCAAAAATACAATTTTTCAACTTTCAAATATGCACTAAAGAATTTATCCACAGTATTTAATAGTAAATAAGGAATTTATTGCATAAAGGATTTGTTAAATAATAAAAAATTGTGTCTTCTAGAACTATTTAAAGTTTAACATTTAAGATAAAATAATAAAATGTTTTTGATTGAAATACTTAATATATTTAAAAATAAATAAATTCACAGGTCAACAAAAAAAGACTTACTTTTTTTTTATGAGATAGCGGAATGGTTTCCTGTGTATTGTTGGACGCTGAACACGATCCCGACTTCCAAATTTGCCCATCACGTCAGGATTTTGAGAAAAGTGGGGGTAAAGACCCCAAAAACGCTTTTTTGAGGATTTTCAACATTTCTTTTCTCTTTAACCTGACGTGCTAGAGACTTCCACAAGGTCTTAAATTAAAGCTTGTAATGTGCACTACAAGACCAATATCCATAAAATAAAAAAAAATTAAAATTTTTTTCAAAAAATGGGGTTGAAGACACCAAAAATTTGTGTTTTTGGATTGCTTTAATAGACTTTTTGCAATCGCTTGGATTCGCTTGAAAATGGGTACTTGGGGTTTTTGGGGTCGCTGATTACGAATCCAATATTTGTTTGCAAAAATTTAAAACGGCGAAACCAAGATGACAGATGTAAAAATTAAGAATTGCTTGGATTCGCTTGAAAATTGTTATTTCAGGGTTTTTTGGGTCGCTGATTACGAATCCGCCATTTTTAATTTTTGCAAACTAATATCGGATTCGTAATCAGTGACCCCAAAAACCCTAAGTAACCATTTTCATGCGAATCCAAGCAATTGCAAAAAGTCTATTAAAGCAATCCAAAAACACAAATTTTTGGTGTCTTCAATCCCATTTTTTGAAAAAAATTTTTATTTTTTTTTATTTTATGGATATTGGTCTTTTAGTGCACATTATAAGCTTTAATTTAAGACCTTGTGGAAGTCTCTAGCACGTCAGGTTAAAGAGAAAATAAATGTTGAAATTCCTCAAAAAAGCGTTTTTGGGGTCTTTACGCCCACTTTTCTCAAAATCCTGACGTGATGGGCAATTTTGGAAGTCGGGATCGTGTTCAGCGTCCAAAAATACATAGGAAACCATTCCGCTATCTCATAAAAAAAAAGTAAGTCTTTTTTTGTTGACCTGTGTTATTTTTTTATAAGTACTTATTTTTTCTCATCAACAGATGTATTGAAGTAAAAAAATTAATAGTTACTTTAAAAAACTAAAATTTATTAAAATGTAGCTCCATTGAAGTAAACAAATAGTCGATTTTTCAATAGAGTGCCGACTTTCAGTTAGTCGAGCTCCTTCGAGCCGCATAATATTTGGAAAAACAAGTTATAGAGCGATTACTTAGCATGTCTACTTTGACGCCAATATGTGCCATTTTGCGCCTTTTCATATTTTTTCAACATAACAAGAATATTGCAATAAACATATAAATATATGCAATAAATATATAAAGACAATTTTCAAAATTAATCAATTATGATGAACAGTGGTATTTAACGGTTTTTTGTGTCGCTGATTACGAATCTGATGTCAGATTTCAAAAATTCAAAATGGCGGATCAAATATGGCGGACATAAAAATTTTAAAATCAATAAATTTGAATTAAACATAGGTATCTATGGGTTTTTTTGCATAGAGTTTTTAGAATAGAGTGCGCGAGTTATACGTTTTACCGTGAGAGGCATTCTTAGGCGCATAGAAAGAGACAAAAGCATGAAAGTAGACCCCTTATCTTACCTTGTTTAAGGGCGCATGTGCAAGAATAAAAGTTTTTGGTTAGGTTTTTGTCTAAAAAGATCGTATGAAAAATCGTTTTAAATATAATAAAATTAAATGTAAAATAAATATTTTACAATAAATAGGGTAGTGTGGGATTAAAAAGTCATGTTGAAAAAAGCTATTTGGCTGTTATTTGAAGTTAAAACGCAACTTTTGATTCTAGTTTGGATGTCGTATCGATAATATTATAGTAATTGGAATTTTTAATTCTGAGCTGCTTATTTCGATGAGTATAAATTGAAAGCAGATAAACTTAACATAAAATACCATTTTTCCTGCTAAAAATGTTTTTAAATTATTTATTTGTCACGTAAATAAAAGAAAAATATAATTGCCAGCAAGCAAGCAACAGTTGGCTGTCTCCGTCTATGCGCCTAAGAAACATTTTGGTCGCTTGCGCACTCTATTATAATAACTCTATAGTTTTTTGGGTCGCTGATTACGAATCTGATGTCAGATTTCAAAAAATCAAAATGCCGGTCATAAAAATTTTTAAATTAATTAATTTCAATGTAACATAGGTATGTAGAGGTTTTTCGGGTTGCTGATTACGAAACTGTTGTCAGATTTTAAAAATGTAAAAATGAGCACTGTGTTTCTGAAATCAGATTTAGATATGAAATGGAGTGTTTACCTGATCCATGGAAATAAAAGCAGATTCTCCAATAGGACTACATGCGCACCTGATATACCCACGCGATAAACTATATACCTATAAGTAAACATCAGGTGTAAAAAAAAACCAAAAAAAATAAAAAAAAATTTAAAATATAAAAAAAATACAAAATGGGATCTCTACCTATAACCTCCTCGTGGTAGATCCTGGAAACTACAGTACGTTTTATTTTTGTAGGCTAATAACAGGAAATTTTTTTTTATTTTCTGAATTGTATAGACACTAGTTTTGTAATCACCAAACTTAAAATCTCCAAAGCAAAAAATTGTAGGCAAATCTCACCCAATCTAAAATCCACTTTAATTATTACATCAGATTCGTAATCAGCGACCTAAAAAAACCCTAGATACAAAGTTTCATAAAAATCGATTAATTTAAAAAATTGTATGTCTGCCATTTTAGATCCGCCATTTTGAATTTTTGAAATCTGACAACAGATTCGTAATCAGCGACCCAAAAAACCCATTGATACCTATGTTTAATTCAAATTTATTGATTTTAAAATTTTATGTTTGTCATATTGGATCCGCCATTTTGAAATCTGACTTCAGATTCGTAATCAGCGACCTAAAAAACCTTTAGATACTTATGCTTCATTAAAATTGATTCATATAAAAAAATTTATGTCTGCCATTTTGGATCCACTATTTTGAATTTTTGAAATCTGACTTCAGATTCGTAATCAGCGACCCCAAAAACTGTAGGTAGCATACTTGTTATTCGTAAATATCTTGCTTTTTTTAAATAATGATTTTTGGCCAAAAATCAACAATTATGGCCCACTGTGGCACTCTATTGAAAGAAACGCAGTTGCTCGATTAAGAATAACTGAATAACATGACCTTAAGAGAGCGCTGCTGTCTCGCATTGAAGATAGCAGATACCTTTAAAATTTTTCAGTGCAGCCAATAATGATTTCAGTATTGTCTCGCGAATATATAGTATTGCAATACCAATAATTCAAACTACACTGGAGACTCCATAGAGAGTGACTCTATAGAGTGTAAAACTTTGGTCGCGACGCGGTAGGGGGACAGAAGAAGAGAGATAGGCGTTAACGAAATTAAAAAAGTCGAAACAGGAGCGTATGTTTTGAGTGTTCCGTTGATAAATATTCGTTACGTTTAAATATTGTGGTTTTGTTATAGTGGTTTTTTAAATAAAAGCTATTAATTATTATCCGACATCTTCTAGATGCATAAAAAAATAATAGTACATTGTGCAACGAGAACGCAAAGCACGAGGCGAAGCCGAGTACTGTAAACAAGCGAGGACGAGAAATGCGTGCGCCCGAGGTACACACGACATTTTATACAAAACGAGAATGTAATCCGCGGTTACTCAGTGCATTTTGAGAGGTAAAGCATGGCTTTGCTTCATTAGTAGTTTTACGGTCCTAGGACGAGAAAGTAGTCTTAGGACCGTGAAACTGCTGCTTGAAGTTAAGGCATACTTTGCGTCTCAAAAACGCTTCGAGAAAGCGGGGATTACATACTTGTTTTGGATAAAATATATTAGAATGTATGAAGCATTCTCTAACATAAAAGCCACCCTAAAAAAATTTCTTTTTGGAAATGAAGTATGTTAAAGTATACATAAAAACAAGTATGTATAGTAGGTTTTTAGGTCTGTGTAATGCGTGGTTGCCATGTTATCAGGGGCTCAATTTTTTTTCAGTATAATTTTTAAATGGCAATATGTTTTACCCATATTAATAGATTCTAAAGTTGTATAAGTGTTTTTTGTAGAGAATTTTCCAAACTTTTGAATGAAATTACTAATTATTTAAAAAAATGTAGTTTCATAAAAAAAATTAAATTTTTTTTCAATTTCCCCCCCTGTTTCCCCCCTTTAAATTTTTTCAAAAATACCCAAAAATGTTTCTTATTTTATAGGCTTTTTACCCTTTATAAGCCATTTTGGGACATTGAAATGAGTACAAGCTACAGATGATTTTGTAACCCGGTGCAACTCATCAATTTTGCCTTTATTATTATAATTTTTACCATAGTGTTGTGCAGTGACTGTCAATTACGAATTTTTTAGTAAAATATATTGTTTGGAACATGGGAAGTAGGTGATTCACATTGCACTATTAAAAATTCATTATTTAAAAAAAATTCTAAAAAATTAAAAATTAAAATCTGTGTTTAATTACTTAAAAAAATACTGAATCATCATATGTATTAGGGTGGTTCTTATTTTTGAAAAATTTGGAATTTCTTAGGTCGCTGGCCGGAATTTAAATTAAAATGCAAAAAAATAAGCTACCCACAAGAACAGCCCATTTGATAAATATTAACCTGTGCCGACGAAGGGTTAAAGTTTAAATTGGGTTTAACATGGGTTTTGTGCACTTCTGCAAACTTTGTATTATAAGGGTAAGACTCCGTCAGAAAAAAAGCGATTTGCAAGTGGTCTTCCGATTTCTTCGAAACCTTGGGAAATAGAAGTCTTATATGAATTAAATTTAACCCTAAAAGGATTTTGAAAAATTTTCAAAATGGCGGCCGCTACGCCATATTGAAAATGAGTGTTGCGTTTTTTTCAAAAATTAATAACTCTAAAACTTTTTGATCGATTTTAATAAAATTTACAGGCAATATAGTTAAAAATACGTAGTTTAATTTGATATTATGAACAAAAAAAAATTTCCAAAATTTGTCAAAAAAAAAGTCAAAAAAATTTTTTGAATTAATTTTTAGTTCAGTTGGCCTAATTTTTGAATTTTCTAATAAGTAAATATCGATTCCTTGTAATTTCACCTTTCATTTCATAAAAAAAAATTTATGGAGACTCTAATAGTTCTCGAGATATTGCGACTTTAATGGGAGCGCGTACTGCGGAATTAAACTCCGTAGCGAGGCGGAATATGAAGCGAGCGTACAAACGTGCACAATAGGGTGTCCGTAACAATTAATTTTCAAAATTTTGGATCCAATATGGCAGGTTCAAAATTTTAATTTTCTACATTTTCGAAGTAAATATTCTAAAACAACGTCAAGGGCGATATTTGGAAGCGCTATTTACGAATCTAATGTTAAAAATTTATTTTTTAAATTACCGAATCTAATATGGCATAGCGGATTCAAATTTTTTTTTAAATATTCCTTTAATAATCGATTTTTAAGAGCAATGGTATAAAAAGTTAAATTTCTATAAAAGAGTTTCGAAAACATCCCAATAATTATTTTTTGTAAATATTAATCTATAAATTAATATTTAGACTATTTACTTAAAAATGTAGAAAATCATAATTTTGAATCTGTCATAGTGGATCGAATAATTTGAAAAATAAAATTTTAACATTAGATTCGTACACTCAGAAAAAAATTGGTTCGAATCAACCAAATTTTGGTTGAATCAACCAAAGAAATGCATTGCTATACAGTCAACCAAACGTTTGTTTGATTCAACCAAAAAATTTCTTCCAATACGTTTATTTGTATTAACCAAATGCTTATTACACTTAACCAAAAAATTTTATTTAATATAACTAAAAAATTTGTTTATTTCAAGAGAAAAGATTTGTTTGATTCAAATAAATAGTTTTAGTAAACGTATTTGGTTTATTTAAATAAATATTTTTGTTTACTTAATTTTGTTATTTATTTTCCTCTAATAATATTTGAATTTCCTAATTTAATATTTTCTAGTACGTATTATTGGTTAATTGATAATTTATTATATAATTATTGATATTTTAAAATTATACATATAATAAATTATAAATTAACCAATAATATGTATACTAGAAAATATTAAATTAGGAAACTCAAACATTATTAGAGGAGAATAAATAACAATTAAGTAAAATATTATATATGTATTTCTTCATATAAATAAAATTACTTAATTGTAAAAAAACATTTGAAATATTACATTAAACATATTATAATTATGATTTTTATACGTGCACTCAGAAAAAAGTTTATTCGAAACAACAAACTGAAAACTTCACAAAACCTTTTTGTAAATATTCTTCTCACTGGTACAAATTAAATATGCAGTAAGTCAATGAACACAATGTATTTAATATTTATTTAACCGACACTTATAATTTTTTTTCTTTGATTTACCGATTTAACAAATAAATTTGACGCGAACGCGGACTGTAGACAAGTGAGATCGCCATTTTTAAATTCACACATGTACAAAATTGTTTTATCGTGACAAATAAAATAGGTTAATTAAACAGTTTGGTTAAGTGAAATAAACTTTTTCTCTGAGTGTAAATAGCGCTTCCAAAAATCGCCCTTGACGTTGTTTTAGAATTTTTACTTTAAAAATGTAGAAAATCAAAATTTTTAACCCGCCATATTGGATCGAAAATTTGGAAAAATTAATTTCTGATATCAGATTCATGATGAACGATCGAAAATAGCCCCGAGTAAGTAATTTTTTTTAATTTTTGACAACACTTATGTGTTAAAACCTTGGATATATTGTGGTGCATTTTTATAACCCACTTTAATCATCCGCCATTTTAAAAATTTTTCAAAATTAAATTTTTGACAAAGTGCTATCTTATAGTGCAGCTAAAAATGAAGGCAAATGTGACCTGGAGAATTTTTTGCATGAAAATTAAAAAAGTTATAAATTTTTTTTTAAAAAGTGCATTTTTCCTATGTATTTTTAATGGGAAATTTCGATGGATCTCTGGCACGTGTTAATATTAATCAATCGGCTTCAAATTTTGGGAAATTTTTTTTTATTTTATTGGAACTAAACTGGGGGGTGGCGTAAACAAAATTCGAAAGTCGCATTGTTACGGACACCCTATTGTGCACGTTTGTACGCTCGCTTCATATTCCGCCTCGCTACGGAGTTTAATTCCGCGGTACGCGCTCCCACTAAAGTCGCAATATCTCGAGAACTATTAGAGTCTCCATAAATTTTTTTTTATGAAATGAAAGGTGAAATTACAAGGAATCGATATTTACTTATTAGAAAATTCAAAAATTAGGCCAACTGAACTAAAAATTAATTCAAAAAATTTTTTTGACTTTTTTTTTGACAAATTTTGGAAATTTTTTTTTGTTCATAATATCAAATTAAACTACGTATTTTTAACTATATCGCCTGTAAATTTTATTAAAATCGATCAAAAAGTTTCAGAGTTATTAATTTTTGAAAAAAACGCAACACTCATTTTCAATATGGCGTAGCGGCCGCCATTTTAAAAATTTTTCAAAATCCTTTTAGGGTTAAATTTACTTCATATAAGACTTCTATTTCCCAAGGTTTCGAAGAAATCGGAAGACGACTTGCAAATCGCTTTTTTTCTGACGGAGTCTTACCCATAACTTTTATATTTCTTAAAAATTTGACTTAGGTCTATGTATTCCCACAGTTTTTCATACGCTGAACACGAATATGATGTCAAAAATATCTTTTGACAGCTACCAGTTGTCAAAATGCTGTCAAAATTCTGTGAAATTTTGAAAATGAGAGTTTTCACGACTTTTACAATACTTCTACGAATAAAACGGTTTCTTGTGAAAATTTCAGTTTATATCTAGCAATTTAATACACTTTGACGGTTGATAGCTGTCAACTGACAAAATATATTAAATACCTATATCAAATGGGCTGTTCTTGTGGGTAGCTCATTTTTCACATTTTAATTCAAATTACGGCCGGCGACCTAAGAAATTCCAACTTTTCCAAATTAAGAACCACCCTAATATGTATTTTTCTTATTCATAACACTTCATGTAATTAGAATATCACTGCTTTTATAGAATTTCGTTAATATCCGTTGATTTTTACACAGTAAATAAATATATATTTACTTTTCTATTAGTTATATAATATATATATATATATATATATATATATATATATTACAACTAATATAACGACTGATATTAACGAAATTATATAAAAGCAGTGATATTCTAATCACATGAAGCGTTATGAATAAGTAAAATACATCTTTGGCTTGATGGAAAACTGTACCATTTCAAGAATTCGTTATAAACTATACCATTTTAAAAGTTTATTATAAAACATACCATTGCCATGAATATCTAGAAAAGCGTTGCATTAAAGAATTTCTAATGATTCACAAGCAATTAATTTAAATTATTAAAAATTTTGAATTTCACTGCACAACACTATGGTAAAAATTATAATAATAAAGGCAAAATTGATGAGATGCGCCGGGTTACAAAATCATCTGTAGCTTGTACTCATTTCAATGTCCCAAAATGGCTTTTAAGGGGTAAAAAGCTTATAAAATAAGAAACATTTTTGGGTATTTTTGAAAAAATTTGCAGGGGGGAAAGAGGGGGGGAAATTGAAAAAAAAATTTAATTTTTTTATGAAACTACATTTTTTTAAATAATTAGTAATTTCATTCACAAGTTTGGAAAATTATCTACAAAAAACACTTATACAACTTTAGAATCCATTGATATGGGTAAAACATATTGCCATTTAAAAATTATACTGAAAAAAAATTGAGCCCCTGATAACATGGCAACCACGCATTACACAGACTACGAAAAGATAGTTTTATTAATTAATGTACACTCCTAAGTGCTTACAGTTTTCGACGCCAGAGGTGGCGTCAAGGACGAACTCCATAGAGAGGGCTAAGACTCGGACTGTACTCTCTATGGATTCTCCAGTGTATTTAAAAATTTTAGGATGTAAATTTGAGTTTAAAAACTAACTAGGGTTTTTTAGAGTAAATGTAAACATAATATCTATTTTTCACCAAGAACGTAAGTTTATTCGTTAAACGATTTAACTTACGGAAATCATTTCAATGAATTTGTTCCTTCATTTTACTACAGAAATTGTATGCGGTGCAAGAAAATATTAAAACTACTTAAAAGGGATGTAACAGCTGAAAAAAATCCGTAGTAGATTCAACCAGTTGATTGATAATGTATCATATAACATCAAAAATATATGCAATATTGACACAATATTTTTTTGTTTTTACATAACAATTAATACGACATTCTGGAAACTAATATAACGTTTAATTTTGAGAAAATAAATATGAAATTTTCTTACAACTTCTGATTTTTTCAATATTTTATAATTTTTCTAAGATCTAAACTCTTGTACAAGTCTTTATTCTTATTAGCACGTTATTGTATTTAATGAAAAACAGTTTTGTAACATTTAGTTATTTTTCTCAAACAGGGCAGTAGACTACTGGGCTCTAGGGATTTTGGCACATGAACTCTTAGTTGGAAAACCACCATTTCGAGGGTCAGACCACATGTCAACTTATAACAAAATTCTGAAAGGAGTTGAAATGGTAGGGATTCCTAGCATTGTTAACAGAAATGCAAACAATTTAATAAAAAAATTATTACGTCTCAATCCATCAGAACGACTGGGTTATCAACGAAATGGAATTCAGGATATTCGAGATCACAAGTAGGTTTCATTGCTTATCTTTCATAGTATTTATTTAAGGGATAAGGCCACTGTAAACGCCAAAAAAAACACCAGTTTTCAAGAATTTTTTTTTGATGGAAGAAAAAAGATTACTATTGGGTAAGAATTCCTGAAGTGGACCCCTATTTTTTATTGGGTTGGTAAATTTTTCTCATACGTATATGTTTCGATAGCCTATGATGGTATAATAAAAACCTGCAAATAGTTTTCCGAAATTCGATTATTTGCTAAAGATAATCAAGGTCAAAGTTATTTGTACCGTTTTAGTAAATAACTAAATACTCGCGATCGGATAAACCGATTACAATAAAATACGAGGAGAGATTACCTGAGGAATTGTACTTTAGATAAATGATCAAAATTTTAATTAAAAAATATAATTTGTTTAAATAAATTAACTTTTTAATTTTTGGGGTTAAAAAAAATTTGTTTTCCATCTTTTTTAAAATTATTTTTAATAATCAAATAGATAATACTTTTAAGATTTCATTTGAACAATAAAAAAGTGGGATTCTTTATCACTTTAGAAAATATAATATTTTTAGTTAAAATTTTTTTTAAAAAGTTAAAGAGATTTAAAACAAAACACATAAACTCGTGTAGATTTCATGCTTTTACGTATATATATATATATATATATATATATATATATATATATCTACCTATATTACAAAAAGATATCGCCGCCGCCGCTGTTTCAAGATTCTGTAAGCGCGCCCTATCCCAAAGGGGCCGTCAAAACTTATGTCAAAATTGACCTATTTTTTGACCTATAGGTCAAAAAGAGGATAAATAACGGCCTCACATTACGTCAAAATCTATGTCTACTTTGACCTATTTTTTGACCTGTAGGTCAAAAAGAGGATAAATAACGGCCTCACATTACGTTAATATAGGTCAATTTTGAGGGCAGTTTTGACCTAGGCGCCAAAATTTGACAAATAATTCCCGCTACCCTCAAAATTTAGGCAAATTTTGAGGGCATTTTTGACCTAGACGTCAAAAGTTGACAAACAATTTCCGCTACCCTCAAAATTTAGGTCAATTTTAAGGGCAGTTTTGACCTACGCATCAAAAATTGACAAACAATTTCCACTACCCTCAAAATTTAGGTCAATTTTGAGGGCAGTTTTGACCCAGACGTCAAAATTTTACAAATAATTCCCGCTACCCTCAAAATTTAGGTCAATTTTAAGGGCAAATTTGACAAATAATTCCCGCTACCCTCAAAATTTAGGTCAATTTTGAGGGCAGTTTTGACCTACGCATCAAAAATTGACAAACAATTTCCACTACCCTCAAAATTTAGGTCAATTTTGAGGGCTGTTTTGACCCAGACGTCAAAATTTGATAAAGAATTCCCGCTACCCTCAAAATTTAGGTCAATTTTGAGGGCAGTTTTTACTTAGACATGAAAGTTTGACAAACAATTTCCGCTACCCTCTAAATCTAGGTCAATTTTGAGGGCAGTTTTGACCTACACATGAAAATTTGACAAAGAATTCCCGCTACCCTCAAAATTTAGGTCAAGTTTGAGGGCAGCTTTGACATAGACGTCAAAATTTGTCAAACAATTTTCGCGCGCAGACTTAATGATGAGGTGAAGTTTGGCATCTGACCTAACAATGTAAGGTAATTTTAAAATTGTGTTTGCTCTTACACCTATCATTTTGACCTAATTTTGACGTTTTATTTTTACTCCCTCATTTAGTTACGTCATAATCTATGTGTAATTTGACTTTTATTTAACTACAACTTAAAAAGGGACAATAAAGAACAATAAACGTATCTATGATACATCAAAATCTATTTAAAATTTAACGTCTTTTTAACCTATAGGTTAAAATGGGTCAAAATATATGTCAAAGTTTAATCTAATTTTTGACATATAGATAAAAAAGGTCCATAACGATTGTTACATTACGTCAAAATCTATGTGTATTTTGTCATGTATTGTATACAATTTATTAAGATGCATTGATATTAAGAAAAAATTACTTTAAATTTATAAAAATTAAAATAAATATAAAAATAGAGATAGGGGGTTGGCGCGCAGAGGGGCGAAGCCCCCCTAGTATATATACAGTAAGGTTTATTTTCAACCAAACATATAGTTGTTGCGTGTTAAAATTTTATTAGAAATGCGTCCAAATATCCACGAAAGTAATTCGAAAAGATATTAGACAGGGGGTTTTTTTAAATTGGGCGTGAGAAATGTCGCTGCGTCTTCTGCTAATGTACAACGCTCTCACAGGCGTAGAAACAGAAAATGTTAGAACATATGAATCTGTATGTCATAGTTGTTTTAAGTAATAAAATTAAAAGATTATGCTTAAAAGGTAAAAAGAATAATAAATGTGTATAATAATTATTGGAAAAAGTTATGAACATTATTAATTTTACAAAAAATTGTATTCTAAGGCAGGAGAAATTAGTTTTCGGAAATGTGAGGTTATGTTGATTTGTTGACAAGTGGTATTCATTTCAAGAAGCCGGTAAAGAATGAAAAACGTTAGTCAAAAACGTAAAAGCTGTGATTGTTTATGTAAAAAAGGAAAAAAAAGATATAAGGAAGAGTAAGAATGATATTTTTTTAACGGTGAGTATAATTTAAAGTTTTTTAATAACATACTTTTTGATTCACAGTAAAAGAGAATAGTTGTAATACTAATTAATTAATTAATGTAAAGGAATTAATTGATTATAATTAAACAATAAAATACGTCATTAATATGAAAATGTTTGCAATGTAAAGGTTAAAAGTTATTGTCATTGTGTATTTAGTTTTTGAGAACATAATAATTACTAATGACGTATAACTAATTTGTTGATTTAAAGTTCAATTTATAATTAATTGTTTAAAATAAATAAATTTTGCCAACGTTTGCTTAATAATATGTCAAATTTAATTAAAATACACTGAGCAATACATGTAAATAAATAAAAACAATTATTTCTTAAAATTAACAGAAACAATGTTAAACACAATTTTCTTCGGTTATTTTGTATGGTTTTTTACTTTTAGTTTTTTTACACTATTTTTCAATTTTAGGCACATTTTAAGAAGTAAAAATTGCTGTTTTAACACTATCTTCCTCTTTTGCTGTGTCTACTGTGGCTGATGACGATGAAGAAAATTAGGATGAGGATACTAAATTTGCAATGATGTAACAGACATTTATAAAAGCTTACGGCTTCCACTAACAATGCTGCAGCTAAAAAATAAAGAGAAGCAAAAAAAGCATAATTATAAAAACATTTCCTATTTAATACAATAATACAAAATATTACATAATACAGAATAATATAATTTAATATAAATAATTTAACACTAATTATAATACCTCCTTTTTTCTACTTACCACAAAAATTCAAATTTTCAGAGACGAAACCAAGGCTGCAAGGGACAATTAATCAACATCATATCCAACTCGAAAAAGAAGACCACTCACCACAAAAAAAAGGAACACATGACTGAAAAATATAACTCGAAATCAAGGCTATACGTTCAATTTCAGGGAAAACATTTTCGTATTACAAAATTTGAGAAAAATCAATATTTTTCTGAATCGATTTTCTTCTCCCATTTTCTCAACTTTCAATTCAGGTTTACAATTTTTTGTACACAGTTTCTAAATCCCATAACAAGTGAAGAAAAGAAATTAATTTTTATCCCACATGCACAAAAACGGCGCTTTCTGATAGCAGCCGACAGGGAGGAAAGTCATTCATTTCTTCGACCGTATGAAAATGGCGGCCGTGTTCTCCCAAGGGCAAGAAAATTAGCTGTTCACATGCATTTTTCTTGCCCAAGGGAGAAATCGGCCGCCATTTTCATACAAATCGAACAAGTGAATGACTTTTACTCCCTGTCGTCTGCTATCTGAAATCGCCGCTTTTGTGCATTAGGAATAAAAAATATCGTAAGTAACACGAGAATAAAGGCAGCCAATTTCTTTACAATGATTTTTGTGACACTCGTTCCGGTCTCGGGGCGCCCTCGACCTCCACTCGTGTCACAAAAATCACCGTAAAGAAATGGCTGCCTTTCTCCTCTTGTTGCTTAATATACTATTTGTTTATTATCTATTCTTTTAATTATTTGAATTCATTTTCAAACTTTCAAATTTTAACGAAAGTCAAGTTTTTTCGAATTGCTTTTCTTCTCTCATTTTCTCAGCTTGCAATTTAGGTTAAAAATCTTCTATTTATTATTTCAACACTCCATTATGCGTGTAGAAACATTTTTTATTGTAGGGGAGACTGGGGTAAACTCGCGCACAGGGTAAACCCGCTCACTAGCGATTTGACGCTATGAACTCAACTTAAGATGGAAATATTGGTACTGTGAATAGTACTTTTTTTTTTTTTTGCTTAGGGACTTTTGGGAAATCTGCCTACAGACACCTTGGATTCCGCACTCCAAGGTTATGTGGGGTTGGTACAATGAAACAAAAGGAAATATTAAAAAAAAAAAGATAAATACATAAATGTTATAATAAATTTAATAAACTGGCGACCCACCACCAGCCCGACCCACCAAAACCCGTAACCCCTCCTCTGGAGCCCTTTACCCTCCCTCGGAACTGTCGTAAGACTTTAGCCTTCGAGGGTGGCGCTTCAACTCTGTCGCTAATGCGACCTTCTCCCTTTCTCTGCGGTCCTCCTGCGTCCGTAGTTAAAAAAATGATTAAAACTATTACAAAGTCCAAGCGGAATTCACAGCACAAAAATAATTAAAAAAACAAATATCTTAAGAAGTGTAAAAAGTCAAAAGATAAAATTGTAAACGGATATAAAAAAGAAAAGAAAAAAAAAGTAAACACGTATATAATGTTGAAAAGATAAAACTGTTTAAAGACGAATAAAAAACACAAAACAAATTAAACAAAAAAATGTATAAGGACAAATAAATCACAAAATAAATTAATAAAAAACAAACAAACAAATTAAAAGCTGTTTAAATCACGCTTTTTGGC